AAAAGTAAAGAAACTTTACTTCACCATAGGACTTAAGAAACTGAATTTAGCCTCAAAGTGGCCTCTGAGAGGTATCAAATCTGCACAATTACACAATTTGCCAGGTTTGTAAGGAAACTGCACAGTTTGTCAATTTAGAATTTATATTACAGCTTTGTTTTTACAGCAAGAGAATATGGCAGTCAGTTTAAGTATATTTAATTAGTCTGACAAGGGCTTCTGTTGACTCACACGCCAGTCAGCATTCTGGGGTGAGCACAGATCATCCAGAAGAGGTGGCTGGAGACAGTGCCGTGGGGTGGTCTCTCCCCATAGGGTTTACCAATGCTACTGCTCATCAAATGAGAAAAGACATTAAAATTCATTATTTGCAAGATCATACTCTGTGTTCACATCCCATCAGCAGCACAATTATACTTTAAATCTGGGTACTACACTGATAGTTCTCTAGAAGAATATCCTATGAGAGGGATGGGATACAGTGCTATACCAGAACTTTACTGATGTGCTGCTCTGTTAAAGTACTCCCCAAGTCCCAGCATCCCAGCTGTGCTGCTCAAAGACCAGTTCCAAGATGATATTCTCATCAAGAGAAAGTAACCATGGAACTCATTGCCTAAAAACTCCTTGGGATTATTCTGTTAGTGATTGTCAGTCTGCGTTCCACACAGCTGTTACTATGACAAGACTCAAGCTCTCTCCTAGTCTACCTAACAGATACTCAAAATACACAATCTAATTTATATTAGCAAATACTAAATATGCCAAATCTACTTATTGAAACATTTCTTAATGCCCTGATGCACAGTAATGAAGGCTGCAGAAGGTTTGTAGTCCTTCTCCTCCAAGCCTGTTACAAGAAAAGTAATCCTTCTCAGCCCAGACTCCAATTGCAATTGAATAAGCTTTCAGATTTTCCAGAATCTTTGCTGGCTGAAGCTGAATGGAGTTTGTTAGACAAATGGCATTTAATATTATATTCATCACTATAGGCGGCTCTTTTGAATGCCTCTTCGGTAATATTTTCAAAAATTACACAATTTATTAATAATTCTGGCTAACAGTGAGCAAGTCAGTTAAGATCAAACTTAGATCTATAGCCATTTTGCCTTGTGCATGCCCATCCCAAGGGACCAGCAGGTGAATTCACCATCCAGATCAAAAGAACTGCTGCCCAGTGCAGCTGACAGACCAAGCACACAGCTACCATCCCCACTGAGCCAAGCTCCAGCATCACTAGATACAGGTTCTCTCCTTTTCTCACTGCTCCATTACCATCCTCTTGGCAAACCAGCACAGGAGACAGAACGGATCAGAAAATCCTTGCTAACCAGTGCCCAGCCCCTCTCCACTAAACTGCCATAAGCAGTGATATTTACTGAATAACTCAAGTCTTCATAAAGAAATAAAAAAATTAAACCAGAGCAATTGGGGTGTTCTAGGTTAAAGCATATTTATACAACTGCAGCAGTACATCAAACTACAGGGAAGTGACTGGGAAGAGACAGATGAGCCACAGGCAAAATTTGGTATGCATTAATTATTACATATGTACAGAAGTACTTGCCCCATGTTGCAAGACATCTGACCCAGAATTAAATCAATCACCAAATCACAGAATACCAGGTTGGAAGGGACCTCAAGGATCATCAATTTTTCTCAACAAAAGCATGATCTAGACAAGATGACCCAATATCCTGTCCAGCCAAATCTTAAAAGCATCCAACATTGAGGAATCCACCACTTTCCTGGGGAGAATATTTCAGTGGCTGATTGTTTTAATTATGAAAATTTTTCGTCTCTTCCATGAACCTTATCAAGTGCAAGTTCAAGCAAATCAGTATTACTCATGTCCACATTATATTATGTTAAAGTTGTTCTTACACCTTTAACCAAACCTTTATCCTATGAACTAAAAACTGTGAATTTCTGGCTTAGTTTTGTAACCATGTTGAGGGAAGAGGAGGGATGGAGAAAATGAGCAAGGAGAAAATTAGTGTATGCAGGAAAAAGACAAGGAAGAACATCTGGAGGGGACCAAGGGATAATGTGAAGAAAATTCAAGGACAAGGAGTAATCTGGGTAGACACTGCAAGATAGACAAGATGCAGGGATGGGGAAAATGGAACAGAGCTGAGAAATCCAGTATTTAAAGACTGGGTCATGTAAGAAAAAAATAAAGCATTTGGCAGGGAAAAAAATAAGATGGGACGGGACACAGAGCTGCAGTAGGACTGAAAGAAGGGAATGAGGAGACAAAGACCAGAAATTTAATCTAGGTGTATGACTTTTGCATGTCTAAGTTGCACTTCTCCAGGTACGCGTGGTAATGGGATCTTGCTCAGTTCTCCCCTAATCAGCTCATGCAAATAACATCAGGCAAAGCTTTCCCAGTTTCCTCTGAGTTCCACACCCTGTGAGAAAAGTTGATGCTACAGAGACAGTAACTCATTCTCAGAAATTGAGTAGACTTCACAGCCCAGCCTTCTATAAGGAAACTGTTCATGCTCAGGGCACATGCAAACGATAAATCTGTGCCCGGATTATGCCAGTTTATGCTACCTTTCTGTCCAATTAACACTCTGAGGTATAACCCTCTGAATTACTGTAGTTGGATTCCAAAACATTCAGTTCATTTAGTCAGGAGCTTCTGAATAACTTTGACAACCATGTGGGAATTTATGATCTCAGTTATATAGCTTTTTATATATAAAAAGCTATTTGTCACTGTTTTCCATATATTTCACATAAGGAAAATAGTATTTCCTCTGCGAGTAACATTTTTTTGCTACCTTTTCATCCATTTGTAAAGCACTTCCCTTCATGTTTAAGGAAGGTTGATGGCTTATCATCCTTATCCAAACCAGATATACACCTCCAGTTCTGCACAAAATAAAATATTCTGTGTCTCCCTCTACTGGCTCTGCATTAAATCAAACCAGAAAAAGAAAAACTAGAAAGTAAATACTTATTATTATCTTAGCAAATTCTATACAGAGCAATGCTCAAATAACAGAAGAGTAATACTTCAATCATAGTTTCTAAACAAGTATTACAAGAAAGAATATTAAGGATCTTTCTGAACACAGCATGAGGCCCATTTAATGTTATTACAGGTACATAACACCACCATAGCGACACAGCTATTATCAAGAAATTATTTATATAGTTGGGAAGTTTTCTACTAAAATTATTTCTCCATTAAAAATACAAGAGAATATTAATGAACTTTCTGTTTCTGTAACTTCAGCTTATTTTATATTGAATCAGATTTAAGCATTCCTGCTTGCTTCTAGCCAGACTGACTTACAGTTAAGCTGGATCCTTTAACTTCTAAATAAATTATAGATAATACATTATTTTGGTTTGGGTTTGGTTGGTTGACTTTTGGGTTTGTTTTAATTAAAACCAATCACGATTTGTGATTCAAGGAATTTCTGGTTTGCAATTTGATCAGTCAAAATATATTTAGTAATGAAAGCAAGCTGTCACTATATAAAATACAAGAGATGTCTTTCATGTACTCTTTAAATGACAGCTGAAAAACCTCATTGTTTTTTACTGAATTCTGCTTTTCTCAAATGATATAATTAAGTGCATAAAGCCCTCTGCTTGTTTCTAATGTGGACTTGAAATATTTCATAGTGCTTCTGGACAAACATATATCTTTTCTTACCCCAAATAAGTCAAAATCACAAGAATTTGAGAAACAAGTGTCATTTCTGCCATGAGGCCAACATTGTGATTTCCTTCTTACTAATTTTCTTCATTGGAGAATTTTATTTAAATTTGGGTAAAAAAAGCATTATTAAAATGTAACTCTTCATTCATATATCAAGTACAGCACAGTGTACTGATTTTATTATATACTCTACAGAACAATCTATCATTCCTTTAATAGAGCATGAACATTCATGTGTCCAACCAAAATGCATTTCATTCTGCAGTGAATTTTATTTTCTATGGTAATACCTTTTTGTATGCAAAACAAGCATCACCTGCTAAGGACAAAGGTTGGCAGCATAATGAGAAATACAGTAAGTTATTAAATTGTCCCTGGCAAGAGTTCCTCCACATTTACTCTACCCACTCTGGGGTTCAAGTGCTGCAGGTGCTGTGCTGGCTATCAGCGGCCCTGAAGCACAGGCAAGTCAGATGTGGGCTGCCAAGGCTGCCAGGGGGCCAGGCCTCTTCTGTGCATGCAGCAGGGACCAGGAGCCAGCCCAGGTCTCAAACTGCAAAACTCACACATTCTGAACTTTGAGAAGCTGAACACAGTTTTGAGCATAGAGTTTTTTAAACAGTACCAGGTTTTTTTAATTCTCTCTGTAGAAACAGATTAGAGCATCGTAAAAATTATGTCAGAAAATAAGAGATCAAATTTATCAGCCTGTAATTTCTGAACTGACTGAAATTTCCACTAGGAGTTGGTTTGCCAAGCAGTAATCAAAAAGGGTCAGAATTTCCAGAAAAATTTCCATCTTTTCATTAAATAGTATTTGTTTGCAATTGGTCTGTATAGATTGCTTAAAGGTAGCATTCAAACAGCTGAATGTGAACTTAACGTTAATTGAAAACTACAGTTCTACCTCTACACAGAAATTCCACTATGTGGGGAAAAAAGCAATCAGAATTTACAGTCAAATCCTCTAAATATGTAGAAAATTCAGGTAGTCTTATTTAAAAGGAGACTATAGTATATGCTTCCATATTAGTGGCATGGAGGCCTTGCTTATCAAGCTGACATTAAAAAAGGAAATTTTTGAGAAGAAATATGCCTACACAGTAGATGATAGCCAAGAACCTTCATGTCAGGTTTAAGTAAAACAAAAGAACATTTTTAAATGCTTAAAAAATAAGTTTCACATTAATACACAAGCTCTTACCTTGACTACATTAGCACATGCCACTACAGTAAAATTATTTTATTGAAGTCTTTACATGCACCTCAAAGCTCCTACAGACATTTCTATGAAAAGACCATGCTTTATTTACTGTACCTGAACATTTCTGCTGCATGTTAATGAAAAAAATAAGATGGAACGTTAGGTTATTTTCACACATCCTTTCCAAAGGCATAATTTCTATTTATTCTGACATGTGACATTACATGCAGTTTTACTTTAGAAGAACTACCAAAAAGCACTTCAGTCTATCTTAAGACAACAACTTTGCCAAGTCAAATAACAGGTTTTACTGTGCAGAAAAAAAAGGCTAAACAATTAAAGAACAACATTACTTCTCTTTCCCACACAGTCTCTCGGAAAGCCCCAAAACACTGATTTAATAAAGGGCTTTGAGGGAAGTAGGTTTGTTTTTACCAATATTCTTCACCTTGGATCAACTTGGTAAAAGGAGTTACACAGAATTAACAGCTGAGGCTACAGCAGCTTACCCAGCTGAGCTAGATGAAGTTTGCCTGTTTCCAGGTGCTACTGACATCATTAAGAGTCAATCATAACTAAGGAATAGCATAGCCTGGCCTCTTGACTTTAAATTGAGGGCTTAGATGAAACACTGCCCACATTAATGAAATAAACTATTTACACAAGTGCACAGAAAGTACTTACAGCGTTTCTGGGAAACTGCCTGTAAACAAGCTGTGACAATGTCGCAGTTCCTCTGGACTTTTTGTACGAGCCTGTCTTTCTGCTTCAGAAGACGGAGCAACTTTGCTGATTGAACAGAAATTCTGTAATTCAGTTCTCGTTTTATAGTTGTTAATTCATCAACATCTGCCAACAAGCAGAGAAAACAACTTCAGTACTTGCCAAAAAGATTCACAAACAGCTTATTGTAGTTGATACGCAAAGGCACTTGCCCCACAGACATTTACAAATACAAGGTCTCTGTAAATGACAAGTTCTATTGACTGGGGTAATTCCCAGTTATAAACACTCTCAGAATCTGAGCCAAGGTCTTTAATTTTCTTTTAAACAAAAGCACTTGAATTTATTGCACAGAGTATGAATCTTAACAATTATGCTGTTATAAACTCTGAGGAATGTGACAGACATAGACAGAATATATTGATAATAGTGCAACTAGGGGGTACATTTTTAATATAGTATCTTCCAGAAGCTGCCTGGACAAGATACAAATTTGTAACAGACAAGGGAACATGTTCAAGAAGCTGCCTGCAAAGCTACAAATGCAACTCCAGAAGAAGCTCTAAGTGGGAAATTCTTTCCACTAAAATGCAACTAGATGACTTCTGTCATGGCCTCAGATATCTCCACTGGCCAGTTATAGTGCCACCAGACCCTTTCTGTTCATCAAAATATCTCAGCTAATATTCCTGTTGTCCTCCCATGAGGTGAGTTTCAGGACCAGCAAAGGGAGTTGCTGGGGAGATGCCTGAAGTCCATTCATTTTTCTGAGTCCTCTGCTCTATTCTCAGAGGCTCCCCCACTAGTGAAATCCTAGGTCTTGCCTATCACATGCTGGGCTCTTCGGCTCCTCCCTGTAATAGCCTGGTACAGCTTGCCACCAGCAGCATCTACACAGCTGCCTGCTCCCTGCAGCTAACTTTTCAAACTACCACTTTCAGTGCAACCAATGTCCCCTGAAGCTGGAAAGAAAATTTTTAAAAATCCATCTTCGGTAACCTGATCTAATGAGAAAAATACATATGCATCCAGGAAAAGCTACTATCAAGTGGGATGGTAAACAGCTCAGCTTGTGTGGCAAAACCTTTCCAATAATTCTGGAGAGCTTAAAGAAAAGGACAAATTGGGCTGAAATGACCATCAACCATGGGCTAGTTAAAAGTATGACTGCAGGGTCAGGGGAGCCACTGAAAAAACAATACTGTATTTTATAGCCCTGTTTCAGCACCTGCTGCTCAGATGCAATTTTCAACCACCTGTACCAGGCAAGGTAATTTAAAACTAGATCTATGGATTTGAAAACAAAAAAAAAACCAACAAAAAAAACCAACAACAAAAAACCCAAACAAACAAANGATTTGAAAACAAAAAAAAAAAAAAAAAAAAAAAAAAAAAAAAAAAAAAAAAAAAAAAAAAAAAAAAAAAAAAAAAAAAAAACAAAACCCCCCCCACCACCCCCAAAAAAAAAAAAAAGGAAAAAAGTTGCATTTGTAATTTATACAGTCACCACTGGAGTTGTCTGGTAAGTTTTACTCTTTCCCACTCATGCCACTTAGCTGTGCTTGTAAAAAACCAGTAACCTGGTAGCAAAATTAATGAGTTGAAGCACCAGAAAATGTATTTCTGAAAAAGAAAATTTCCTGTTGAGTCCCAGGTTACCAAAGGACACACAGAAGAACTTGAGCTACATCCTAGTAACATCAGAAGGCGTGTCATCTCATTAAGAAGCCAAACACGGAAGCAGATAGCTGTTTGTACAGCTCTGAAAAGCAGGCATATTTAGTCACCTCTTTGGTTTTTTCCTTATCAAAAGTAAAAGTGATTAAACATCAGGAGACAAGAGGCCTTTGTTCTCTTTTCCTGTTCATTAGATCAACATGGAGTTGCACATTTAGTCTTTCACAAACATGCACTGTTGAGGCTACCTATCATGAGAATTCTTTGAAAAAATTCATTTAAATTTCATTTAGATTCTGATTTACTCCAGCATTTACATTTTTCATTACACTTCTTTTTTTTTTCTTTTTTTTTTTTGAAGACATGCCAACCTCCAAGTAAGCTTTACAGTTGTCCAGTTTAGTGTATGTCTAGTAGAACTCAAAGGCTCTGAGAAAAACTCTTACGATACTGTACTGTATGTGTAGCATTTCTTCTAGATTCAGAAAATAAAAAGAAAAAGAAAGAAAAAGAAAGAAAGAAGAACTGGACATTTATTCATTATTGTAAGCGAGGAAAAGCGCCCAACTCGCAGAAACACAAAAGCTTAGGCAGTCTGTCACAGAAACTAGCAGCTGACGAGCCTAATTTGGCTCCTAGGGAACCAAAACAAAAGAGGGGCGATCAGCACAGGAGAACCTAGTCTAAAGGAGCTCTCAGCTAACAGCATGTGGAAGCTTCTGGGAGCCACGGCCACGCAGAAAGCCTGGAAATGGGCACATATACACGCATAGACACATATACACGCATAGACACGTGCGCGCAGGCACGGAGGGCATCTTCGGGCAGGGCTCCCTTGCAAGCACAGAGGAAAAGCGAAGCGGCAGGGGCAGCTCCCGGCCCCGGCGGGGCGGCGGCAGGCGCGGGGCGGGCTGTACCTTTCAGCCGCAGGTAATTGACCTGGCTCGGCCGCTGCTGCAGCTCCCGGAGGGCGCGGGAGCGGGCGCTGCCCGAGGAGGCGGCCGCCTCGGCGGCGCTGTACAGCTCGGTGAGCAGTCCGCTCACCAGCGACGAGGTACGGCTGGACCGGCCGCTGCCGGGACCCGCCTCGTCCTCGTCCTCCTCCTCCTCGGCCAGGCTGTCGGCGCTGCTGCCCGCCCTGCCGCCCGCGCCGGCCTCCGCCGCATCCATCTTCCGCGCCGCCGCCGCCGGGTTCCGGGCTCGGCGCGTCCCACGGTCACACGCCGGGGTGGGGCGGGCAGGGGAAAGGGAAGCGGGCCGGAGAGGAGGCGCTCCGGGCAGGAGCGCCGCGCCCGGCTCCGCTCCCTCCCCGCGCACCGTGGTAGAGGCCGGGCGGGGAGCTGCACCTGCCTCGGGCGGGGAGGGTGGGGACCTCGCTCCGCCTCGGGGCGGTGACTGCGGGTGCGATACCCGCACACCGTGCGGCTGCCACGGAGGTCATCACCGTCCTGCCCCTGCCTCCCTGCTGGAGGGGCGGCCTGGTTTTGCCAGCGATTCAGTACCTGGGCTGTGGCCGGTCCCCGTGACACCGCCTGCAACCCGGAGCGGATGGCGGGGTGCGCACGGCCGCCAGAGCCGGGAGCGCCTGGGCTCTGGCTGCCGCACCGATGGTGGTGTAGGGAGGCACGGCCACACGCGTAACAGCCGCGACTAATTCAGGTCAGGAATGGACAGAATCACAGAATGGGTAAGGTTGAGTGCTCCAACCTCCCTGCTCAGGCAAGGTCATTCTAGAGCACATTGCACAGGACTGCGTCCAGCCAGTTCTTGAGTCTCTGCAGTGAGAGACTCCACAACCTCTCTGGGCAACCTGTTCCAGCGCACAGTCACCAGCACAATTAAGAAGTTCTTCCTCTTATTCAGGTGGAACTTCCTGTGCGTCAGTCTCTGCCCATTGCATCTCGCCCTATTGCCGGGCTGAGATGACCGTTCTTCTGCCCCGAGGAGCTGGCTGCATCCTCTCAGCACGGGGAAGTTTGCCCGTCCCCCGGCGGCGGAGCTCACGCCTGGGAAGCGCCCCCGCACGCAGCGCGGGCCGGGGCGGGGCCGGGGCGGGGCGCTGGCAGGCGCCGGGCCGCGTGACCGCCCCCCGCTCCGGGTCATATGCCGGGGGCGGGGCGGGCCGCGCTGCTGCCCCGGCTGCGCCGCCGCTCCGCCGCCGCTCCGCGCCCCTGGCGGCCCCGCCATGGCCCCCGCCGCGCTGCTCCGCGCGCTGCCGCTGGCCGCGCTGCTGCTGCTCAGCCCGGTGCGGGCGGTCCGGCAGGCGCGGAGGCCCAACGTGGTGCTTATCCTCACGGACGACCAGGACGTCTGCCTGGGCGGCATGGTAACCCTGCGGCGGGGGGCGCGGGCTGGCGGCGGGGCCGGCTCGCCCGGGCCGCGTACCGGGCTGCGGGCGGGGGTCGCTCCGGGTCGCGCCGGGCCCGGCCCGCAGCCGCAGGGGCTCACTGCGGCCTCGGGCCGAGCAGCCCCCGAAAGGAGCCGCGGTGGGGCTGCCACGGGCGGGACGAGCCGCTCTGCGGAGCCGCCGGGGCTCGGGGCCGGGGCCTGTCTGGAACAGCCGCCGCAGATACCCCGGGCAGCTCCCCGCACTTGTGCTCGCTTGGGCCGGCTTGTGCAATCGCTGTGGCCACGCCAGGCCCTAGCGAGAAGGAAAGGGCATTCTTAGTGTCTTGCTGCGGTGGTGCCTAAAAACTGTGGTGTTGGGCCTTTTTCCAGGCAGCCTGCTTAAAGTCCCTGGCTTTACCTGGCATCCTTGCGTTTTTAGCTGATACCTTTTGATATTTTCTTTTCAGACCCCCCTAAAGAAGACTAACACTCTTATTGCCCAGATGGGAGTAACCTTCGTAAATGCAGTAAGTGTTTGCCTTTATGCTCTGAACCTCTGAGGTGTGAGGATTTATGTATTTTGTGTCTTAGGTCATCTGAGGTCTCAAAAAATTGTATCAGTTTTATGAAAGCTGTAGATATGGATGTGGGGTTTTTAAAATTCAATTGCTACCTACTTTCAGGTCTCAAAATGAATATAACTTAAGGTGATGTTCAAAATCTGTAGTTTCACTTTCTGAAAGCACCTATGCTCACTTCCTTTTTCTTTAAAATAAAACTGCGTAGTCTGACTATTAAAAGAAGCTGCTCAAAACTTCAGTTTTCATGCATGATGAAGTCACTTTATTATTTTCATATTCTAGGGTACCTCCATGGCTAAATAATGGAGTGTGTCAATGGTCAAACAGAATTTTAGTGGGTTCTTACCCCGTCTAAAAACCACATCCAGTCTGGTAGTGAGAAGTTGAAGGACATGTGCTGCAGAGACCTGAAACTGTTTCATGTGCAGATTTTTAATAGTGAAAATACTTCTAATATAATTCTGGGTGTCTAGAAAGAAGTAGGTTTTACTGTTGGTGAACATATTAATCAACCTGTTAGCTGATATTTAAAAGCTATAAATTTTGACATAAAATTGTTTTACTATCCCAGTCTTAAATCTCCTCATTCTGTTTTTCCAGTATGTCCCCAGTGCACTTTGCTGTCCCAGTCGAGCTAGCATTTTAACAGGAAAATATCCACATAATCATCATGTTGTCAATAACACTCTGGAAGGGAACTGTAGCAGCAAGTTATGGCAGAAGATTCAAGAACCATACACCTTCCCAGCAGTGCTCAAAGCTATGTGTGGTTATCAAACATTCTTTGCTGGAAAGTATTTAAATGAGGTATTTGATGTTTATCTGTGTTCTTTTCTTTTTTTTGTGGTTTGTTGTAAGAGTTAAGTGTCCACTGAGGCAAATTCATCAGGAGAACAGATATTTTCAGAGCTCTTTTACAGCAGTTACTCAACACTTTATTATTGAGTCACTTGTATATGTGTGCTTTAGTTTTTTTGTCTTTTTAACTAGGGTATAGTTTCTAGTAGTTCGCACTAAGATGTAAAATTCAGCACTGAAAGCTGCAAGGCTGTGTGTTCCTTTTGTGTGATGGAATTGGATTAGGAGCTATATGAGCTACATAACAACATGTTTTCTTTGCCTCTCATGGTGGAAAACGGTAGTATGATAAAACAATGGAATGTGAGCCTTCATAGCCAGGCATGAATTTGTGTCTGCTGATGTTCCTGAGGCAGCAAGGGGAATGGAAACTTAGCTGGCTTCCTCTGAGCATCTCTTGACTCAGCAGAGTCTCTCATGCCTGCAGTTAGGCAAGCCACGTAGATTGGAGAGGGCTGCTCTGAGAAAACCCGTTGTGTTGCTCTAAGGCACCCTCTGTTTTGAGTTTGGCACTGACTCAGCAGCTACTTTCCCTATTTTGCTGCCTTAAAGGCTAATTGTTGTAGATTATTTGGCACCAAATGGCAACTTGAAGTTCTTACCCCTGTTGGGGGAGGATGAAGGAAAGCTGTTGATCTGTGTGGAATTCTCCTTAGTATCTTGTGAACTGTTATCACAAGTCCTGCAAGTGTCTTGTCACATGGATATTTTGATCACCAGTCATTATTTGATATGTACATTATGTTCTCCAGGATCTTTGCATATTTTCATGTGCAGAATGGAGCAGGGAATAATATTTAAATGTTACTGGTGATTGCTAAGCTTTTAGTTACTGTCTAGTTATTGAACCTTGGTTTCTGTAACAGGACCTACATGTGTTTTTATATGCATATATATGTAGTTTTCCCCATTCTGAAATTGAATTTGGCTTAACATGGTTTCTGAGCAGTGTTGAATGAAGCACATGAATATGAAACATAATGTCTAGCTTTGATTCATCATAATTCAAACTGTGAGTCATGATCTCTTTTTTTCAGTATGGAGCAGAGGATGCAGGGGGAGTAGGTCATGTCCCTCCTGGATGGAGTTTTTGGTATGCTTTGGTATGTGACTTATTTTTAACAACTTAATTTTGGTTGCTTTATAATTCAACTCAAGTTCTAACTTTACTGCTCATGAAAGAGCAGGACAAGAACATCTAATCATTTAATGCAAATTTTCTTCCACTTTTTCATTTACTGTACATCAGATATGTGGCTTTTACAGGGAGTACTCCTATTGAGTGCCTGGAGGAAAAAAAAAACAATTTTGTAAATCTAAAGCAGTGAGAGATAGCACTAAAACAAATTTTGTTGGTGGAGACCACTTTTGAGAATTTTTGCAGTATCCTTTGGCAAATGCTCATAATCTATTTGGCAAATGCTTGGAGGCAATTAATTTGGATTATTTCAAGTAATCAATGTACATGTTGCTTTGCATAAGTATCTATGTCACTTTTCTTTTTCACAGGAGAAAAATTCAAAGTACTACAACTATACTCTCTCGGTAAATGGCAAAGCACGAAGGCATGGTGAGAACTACAGCGTAGATTATCTCACAGATGTACTGGTAAGTAATTTTGCAATGTGTGGTACAGAAACTGCTTATAACCAGATAATGCCTCATGCTGGGGACTTGGGAAAGGCTGAGATAATTTGTTAGGCTGTATTAGTTGACAAATGGACAGTTGTACTGTTGTGAGGGTGGGTAGGCATTTATCAACAAAGTAAGATTCCGAGTATATTTAGAAATGACAGATTTATGTTTGAGCTGTGAAGAGGAAAAGGATTCCAGCTGGCCATTTGTTAGCCAGTAGCCCCATTGAGGAGTTAATACTGATTGCTGTGCTGCAGGAGGGACAGGTAGGCAGAAATTTAAATTACTTTATGTGAGGATATGTTTCATTCTATGTAACTTCTGCAACAGATTAACTGGGAAGCATGAACAGATTAACTAGTTGGAAGCATGTAAAAATAAACTTCACACCATGTTTTGTTTAGGTATTATGATGTGTTAGTATCTTGTAGTTTCCAGCTCCATCAGTCGAGAACTTGTAAATATTAAAGCCTAATCAATTCTTCATAGTATATGAGGGCAAAGTGTAGCTGATCAGGGAGGTTTTAGCCTTTTATCTACATAAAATAAGAGAGGTAACAAAGATGTCAGATCCTTTAAGGAAGGATGGAAGAGTTACTTTAGCTTTCTTAAGGCCCTGTTTGGCAAGTTGCAGGGGCTGTGGGCGAGGGAAATGTCCCCCAGCTGCCAAGCTAGTCATAAGTTGATGTGCTGTTACAATCTATAGGTTGGTACTGTGTTACTGTGTATAGGTTAACACTCACAAAAACTCTTCTCTAGAAAGGTCTC